GAGTCTCACCTGCGAGTGGCACCACCTGACGCTCTGGCTCCCCACGTGGCTTGGAGCCTCGAAAGCTCCGTGACTCCTGTGTGGTGATACAAAGACAAAGATCCCCCACCGTGTAGCCTTCACAGACTGCTGGGGCAAGTGCTGTTAGCGAGAAGCACCTATGAAGGCCGGCACGGTTCACGAGGGGGTTGGTGGCCAGCACCACGCCCGACTGCCTTTGTCTCCCCAGTGCTACTCATTTGAGACTGAGTCGACCTAGGGGAGGCCTAGGACCGGTTCAGATAATCGTCACTGGTGTTGGCCGTGAGCGGGAATCGAAGCCGGGTCGCGAGGTTCATAGCGCAGCGTAGCGCTAACCACTACACAGACACATATACAGACACACATCTACACAGACACATACATACACACAGACACAGACACACACAGACACACAGCGTAGCGCTAACCACTACACAGACACATATACACACACACATCTACACAGACACATACATACACACAGACACACACAGACACACAGCGTAGCGCTAACCACTACACAGACATATACAGACACACATCTACACAGACACATACATACACACAGACACACACAGATACACACATACACACGTTACATACACACACACGTTACATACACACATACACACGTTACATACACACACTCACATTACATACACACACACACGTTACATACACACACGTTACACACACACTCACATTACATACACACACACACGTTACATACACACATACACACGTTACACACACACACGTTACATACACACACTACACACACACGTTACATACACACATACACACACGTTACAGACACACGTTACATACACACATACACACGTTACATACACACACGTTACATACACACACACGTTACACACACACACACGTTACATACACACACGACATACACACACGTTACACACACACACACGTTACATACACACACGACATACACACACGTTACACACACACTACACACACACACTACATACACACTGTACACGCCCAGCCCCGTGTCCCGAGGTGACCCTCTCTCTCTAACAGACGCGCAAAGTCGTTAAGCGATTTCTTAATTGGAAATAAAAAACTGTACAACAACATTTGCACACTTTGACCGACTTCAACGTCAAACTTTGCTGAAGTAATAACAGCATCAATACAGTGACTCCTACACTTACAAACGAGTCGATTTATTCTTAAATACACTAAATTAAACATTACTACAATATTCTTAGGTTTTTTCGGTAAAGTCACGTAGGTAAAAAATATGAAAATTAATAAAAGTAAAATAAAACATTTATTTTATTTGACTTTTTATTTGACTTTCATTAATTTAATTTTTTTTTACCTACGTGACTTTACCGAAAAAAACCTAAGAATATGAATCCTTGCAGTCACGAAAGCTTCAAATCTAGAATTACTACAATACATGATATTGTGATATTATATTGTGATATTATACCGTTATATTACATTGATATACACATTGTTATATTACATCGGTATTTTATATTGAGAAATCGTTACATTAAATTGGTATTTTATATTGATATATTACATTGTTAAAGTGTACGGTATATTATGTTATAATGGATATTAGATTGGTGTATTAAATTGTATATCATGTCGGTATATTATGATGACGATGTAATGCTATTTTATATTGCTGTATTCTACGACAGGGGTGTCCAAACCTTTTGCAAAGAGTGGAGGTCGTGCGGCTTGGTGAACAGGCGTCTGCCACGTGGGTGCGAGCTCCTGAGTTGAAATCAGAAGCGGTCGCTGTAGGTGTCCCTTGGTGATTGAATCATTTAAGTTGACATGGTCGAACAGTGTGGTGGGCAAGGTGGGTGTGTCTGTGTGTCTGTGTGTGTGTGTCTGTGTGTGTCTGTGTGTGGTACAGTAGGGGGCACAGGTGGTGCATCAGCCAGTCATCTCGGTCATCTCGGTCAGTCGACCCGTGGCACCTGGGTCTGCCCCGTGACCTCCTGCCAGCGGGCGTTCGACACTTCACGTGGCCTCAAGGTGCACTTGGCCTGGCACAAGCATCGTGGTGACGTCACCGCCACTTAGTGGCGAATGGCGGTTGTTGTTGTTGTTGTTGTCTGTGTGTGTGTCTGTGTGTGTGTCTGTGTCTGTGTGTGTCCCCTGTAGTGTAGCGGTTAGCGCGCTGCGCTATGAACCTGGCGACCCGGGTTCGATTCCCGCTCACGGTTAACACCAGTGACGATAATCTGAACCGATCCTGGGCCTCCCCTAGGTCGACTCAGCCTTAAATGAGTACCTGGTGCGGTGTGTAAACATCGCCACTAGGGAGACAAAGGCGGTCGGGCGTGGTGCTGGCCACCCACCCCCTCGTGTGCCGTTCCGGCCTTCATAGGTGCTCGCTAACAGCACTTGCCCCTACAGTCTGTTAAGGCTATATGGGGGATCTTTATCTTTGCCCTGCACGCCACGCTGTGAGTAGCAGCTCGTTCAGAGGCAGAGATAGAATAGCGCCACCCGTAGAGCTGGGAAGGTATAGTGTTTACATTTCGATGTAAAGCCTTGTATAAAGGTGTCAGTTTTAGTACCAGTTGAAAGGGTAAGAACCTATCACTATATTTTGCCACTGGTAAAGGAGATGTCTCATAGTGTAAATGCTTACCCCGAGCTCTCAATACTCTGATAGTGCGCTGTTTTTGAGTTGTATACAAGGCATCATGTTTTTGAGTTGTACGCCTTGTGGCGTCATCTGGTCCAACCCATGTGAGACTAGGCTCTAAGGAAAGCTGTCTCGGGTGTGGACCAATCAACTTCAAGGACAGTGCATATCATCATCAGAGTTGTTTCTTTTTGTTTGCATTTTAACTGCTTGTGTTGTGTATTATTGCAAACACGATGCCTTGTATAAAGGTGTCAGTTTTTGTACCAGTTGAAAGGGTAAGAACCTATCACTATATTTTGCCACTGGTAAAGGAGATGTCTCATAGAACAACTAAAACTTAAGTTTGCCAAGTGTGGCTGTAGAGTGGCGATCGTGGCATCTCATACGCACGGCTCGTCATCACCTTGACCTGCAAACTCTTCTGGGACTTCCACATTGACAGGCCGCTGTCGAGCACAACGTTGTTTGTTTGCAACCTGCACACTTTGTCTCTCTGGCTAATGTGAGTTCTAATTCTAGATTTGAAGCTTTCGTGACTGCAAGGATTCATATTCTTAGGTTTTTTGCGGTAAAGTCACGTAGGTAAAAAAATTAAAATTAATAAAAGTAAAATAAAAACACAAGCTTCCGTCTTCAGGTGGAACAGTCACAGCACGACAGCAATCGTGCTGTGACGGTTCCACCTGAAGACGGAAGCTTGTGTTGCCTCCGAAAGGTCGTGATTTTATTTATTTTACTTTTATTAATTTAAATTTTTTACCTACACGGTGACTATACCGTAAAAACCTAAGAATGTGATTTCTAACCTTCCCCGCATGTTGTACGACTACGTCGTGTGCCACTACTCAAGTCTGTCAATGACAGGAAGAGCCACCGGCAGTCATGGCGACGGTGATTCTCCCAGAGGCAGACGGCAGCAGCAGCGGTGAACGTCGGTGACTGCACTTCGACGACGATGATAAGTCCTAATGTGGACAAAGCCGCTCGACAGCTTGATCCTCCTTCTTGGTTCTTTCGGTAAAGTCATCACGTAGAAGGGAAGTAATAAAATAATAAAAATAAAACATAATAAAATAATTCTCACGACGTTTCGGCCACAACGCAAGCAGCCGTCTTCAGGTGGAGACCAGGTCTGTCGAGAAGACAGCGTCTGAATGTCTCGACAGACCTGTTCTCCACCTGAGGATGGCTGCTTGCGTTGTGGCCGAAACGTCGTGGGAATTATTGTTTTATTTTTATTATTTTATTATTTCCCTTCTACGTGACGACTTTACCGAAAGAATCAAGAAGATGAATCCCTGCAGTCACGAAAGAAGCTTTACATCGAAGTTTGATCCTCGTTCCACTCCTGCCTGTCGGTCGGTCACACATGTTCTCAATTTGTTGATGGTGAACCAAGACAAGTTGACCGCAGTGCGGTTTTTCTGAACTGCATAAGGCCGAGAGCTTCACGTTTTGTTTCCGCGCAGTGCGGCCATCGAGACTCCACGCAGAGCCGCCCCGAGCGAGCGATCCAGCCGGTCACGACGTGGCCCTTCATCTGCTTTAGTGGCAGACGCGTGGTGGTCAGAGTGGACAACGTCGCGACGCTATTCGGAGTCGGCAATACTGGAGGCACTTCTTTATTTAGTGAGCACCATCACAACAACAACAACGACAACAACAACGACAACAACACCCTACGTGGGCGGACGCACTTTCATCGTCGTTGCCATCACGAGGAGCGTCTGATTGCCGGCGGCACTAAGTAAGGGCAGTCGCCAGAGGTCGCAAACGGGGTTTGATTCCTTACCCCCCGTACCCGTACCCGGCCGCACCAGGGTCGCAAACAGGTACCCGTACCCGTACCCGGCCGTACCCGGGTAGGGTACGGGTATCGGGTACCCGATTGCGACCTCTGGGATGAAGCCATGTTGCAGGCGCGGGTGGGTTGATTCTAGGAACTTGAATTGTGAGAAGAGACAAGACGTTGGGAAATGAGTGACAAGCGGTGACTCACCAGTGACTCACGGCCTACCAGTACCCGGCCGCACCAGGGTCGTACACGGCTACCCGTACCCGGCCGGGTAGCCGGGTATCGGGTACACGGTTGTGACCTCTGCTACACCGTGGCCCGCTGACGTGATGACTCTCGAACAGCGCAGTTACCCTTCTCCACCAGCAGCCGGCGCTATGCCCCTACAATAACATCAACAACAACATCAACAACAATAACATCAACAACAACATCAGCAACACGACTACCACTGCTACTACTGCTGCTGCTGCTACTGCTACTACTACGGTGGCGGTGGCCGTGCACACGCGGCACGGAGAGCGTGAGGCCTCGTCAGCGGCGTGGGCCGACAGTGGCACCTGCAGAGGCCGCGGGAGAGAGACACGTCACCAGGGCATGTCCCCATCACACTCCTACACCATCTCTTACTCCTCCTACACCTCCTCCAACTCCACCTCCTCCAACTCCGTGTGCTGCTCCATCATCCACACGTCGCCACCTTCACCATCACCATCGCCACCATCACCATCGCCACCTTCACCATCACCATCGCCACCTTCACCATCATCGTCGTCGTCACGGCGACCCCCGGCCAGCACCCCGCTCTCGATGTCACTGGAGGGAGCGGAGCAAGTAGGCGACGGGTGATGCGATGTACTCGGGCTCAACGATTTGGGGGAAATATCGAAGTGCGATTTTTCTGACAGATATTGCGATTTGATTTGCGATTACGCTGAGGGAGGGTGGCGATTGTGCACAGACTGCCCTACATGACATCATAACAACAGTCTGGACCACTGGACGGGTTCTGCAGGATTGGAAGGATGCCCTGGTGGTCCCCCTCTTTAAGAAGGGGGACCGCACAGACTGTAAGAACTACAGGGGCATCTCACTCCTCAGTGTGCCGGGAAAGGTCTTGGCAAGGATTATTCAACATCGCCTTGCCAGGCACGCTGAGGAGAGGCTTGCGGAGCCCCAATGCGGTTTCAGGAAAGGGCGGTCCTGCACAGACGCCATATCTTCTGTTCGTCTGCTACAGCAGAGGTGTAGGGAATTCCAACAAGACCTACATCTCTGCTTTATTGACCTGGTCAAGGTCTATGATACCATCAGTAGGCCTGGGCTCGGGGTTATTAGTCATGCTTTCTGAGTTCCTGACCCTCTGCTCATGATCATTAAATACCATTGGACACTCCACCCCTAAAACTCCCAAATTGGTGATGAGGCAGTTGTGGAGAGAGTGGAGAGTTTCCCATACCTGGGCAGTGTGCTCATGACCGGCTCTGGTTTATCAGCAGAGGTCTCACTCCGAATCAGTCGAGCGGCAAAATCTTTTCATCGGTTGCGTAACGCTGTGTGGAAGCTACCTGGTCTGTCGCTCCGCACGAAGCTTCAGGTCTTCTCGGCCACAGTCATTCCCTCCCTTCTCTACGCTTCCGAAATGTGGACCCCCCTAATGGAACATCTTTGCCAGTTAGAAACATTTAGGTTGGCCTGCCTATGATCCATCCTGGGTTTAACCAGGCTGGATTGTGTGAGCTCACAAATCCTTGAAAGATCTGGACAAAGTCCCATCGGTGAGCTCCTCCGACAGGCAAGGCTGCATTGGCTGGGTCATGTAGCCCGCATGCCCAGCCACCGCATGCCTAAACAGCTTTTGTTCAGCCGGATAGAGGGGGCTAAACGGGCGCGGCACGGGCTGGAGAAGAGATGGAGTGATGTGGTACAGGAGGACGTGGAGCTGATTGGACTTGGTGATGACCGGAACCAGCGGTGTCAAGATCGGCCTCAGTGGAGGAGGCTCGTGAAGGACGCTACTGGGCAGTTGGAGGCAGTCGCCCTACAACAACAACGGAGGGCGGAGGAGCGACGCTCACAACAACGAGCGGAGCGCCGGGTGGCTAAAGCACAGCATGGTGGTGATGGTGGTGATGGTGGTGGTAGTGATGATGGTGGTGTTGGTGGTGGTGATGGTGGTGGTGATGGTGGTGGTGATGGTGGTGATGGTGGTAGTGATGGTCGTAGTAGTGATTGTGGTGGTGATGGTGGTGGTGGTGATGGTGGTGATGTTGGTGATGGTGATGATGGTGGTGGTGATGGTGGTGGTGATGGTGGTGGTGGTGGTGGTGATGGTGGTGATGGTGATGGTGGTGGTGGTGATGGTGGTGGTGATGGTGGTGGTGATGGTAGTGATGGTGATGGTGGTGGTGATGGTGGTGGTGATGGTGGTGGTGATGGTGGTGGTGATGGTGATGGTGGTGATGGTAGTGATGGTGATGGTGGTGATGGTGGTGGTGATGGTGGTGGTGATGGTGGTGATGGTGGTGGTGATGGTGGTGATGGTGATGGTGGTGATGGTGGTGGTGATGGTGGTGGTGATGGTAGTGATGGTGATGGTGGTGGTGATGGTGGTGGTGATGGTGGTGGTGATGGTGGTGGTGGTGATGGTGATGATGGTGGTGGTGATGGTGGTGGTGATGGTGGTGGTGGTGGTGATGGTGGTGGTGGTGATGGTGGTGGTGGTGATGGTGGTGATGGTGATGGTGGTGGTGATGGTGGTGGTGATGGTGGTGGTGGTGATGGTGGTGGTGATGGTGATGGTGGTGGTGATGGTGGTGGTGGTGATGGTGGTGGTGGTGATGGTGGTGGTGATGGTGATGGTGGTGATGGTGGTGGTAGTGATGGTGGTAGTGATGGTCGTAGTAGTGATGGTGGTGGTGATGGTGGTGGTGATGGTGGTGATGGTGGTGTGGTGATGATGGTGGTGGTGATGGTGGTGATGGTGGTGGTGGTGATGGTGGTGGTGGTGGTGATGGTGGTGATGGTGGTGATGGTGATGGTGGTGATGGTAGTGATGGTGATGGTGGTGATGGTGGTGGTGGTGATGGTGGTGGTGATGGTGGTGGTGATGGTGATGGTGGTGATGGTAGTGATGGTGATGGTGGTGATGGTGGTGGTGATGGTGGTGGTGATGGTGGTGTGTGGTGGTGATGGTGGTGATGGTGGTGATGGTGGTGGTGATGGTGGTGGTGATGGTGGTGGTGATGGTGATGGTAGTGATGGTGATGGTGGTGGTGATGGTGGTGGTGATGGTGGTGGTGATGGTGATGGTGGTGGTGATGGTGGTGGTGGTGATGGTGATGATGGTGGTGGTGATGGTGGTGGTGATGGTGGTGGTGGTGGTGGTGATGGTGGTGGTGGTGATGGTGGTGGTGGTGATGGTGGTGATGGTGATGGTGGTGGTGATGGTGGTGGTGATGGTGGTGATGGTGGTGGTGATGGTGATGGTGGTGGTGATGGTGGTGGTGGTGATGGTGGTGATGGTGGTGGTGATGGTGATGGTGGTGATGGTGGTGGTAGTGATGGTGGTAGTGATGGTCGTAGTAGTGATGGTGGTGGTGATGGTGGTGGTGATGGTGATGGTGGTGATGTTGGTGATGGTGTTGATGGTGGTGGTGATGGTGGTGATGGTGGTGGTGGTGATGGTGGTGGTGGTGGTGATGGTGGTGATGGTGGTGATGGTGATGGTGGTGATGGTAGTGATGGTGATGGTGGTGATGGTGGTGGTGGTGATGGTGGTGGTGATGGTGGTGGTGATGGTGGTGGTGATGGTGATGGTGGTGATGGTAGTGATGGTGATGGTGGTGATGGTGGTGGTGATGGTGATGGTGGTGATGGTGGTGGTGATGGTGGTGATGGTGGTGGTGATGGTGGTGGTGATGGTGGTGGTGATGGTGGTGGTGATGGTGATGGTAGTGATGGTGATGGTGGTGGTGATGGTGGTGGTGATGGTGGTGGTGATGGTGGTGATGGTGATGGTGGTGGTGATGGTGGTGGTGGTGATGGTGATGATGGTGGTGGTGATGGTGGTGGTGATGGTGGTGATGGTGGTGATGGTGGTGGTGGTGATGGTGGTGGTGATGGTGGTGGTGATGGTGGTGATGGTGGTGATGGTGATGGTGGTGATGGTGGTGGTGATGGTGATGGTGGTGGTGATGGTGGTGGTGATGGTGGTGATGGTGGTGATGGTGATGGTGGTGGTGATGGTGGTGGTGATGGTAGTGATGGTGATGGTGGTGGTGATGGTGGTGATGGTGGTGGTGATGGTGATGGTGGTGGTGATGGTGATGGTGGTGATGGTGGTGATGGTGGTGGTGGTGATGGTGGTGATGGTGGTGATGATGGTGATGGTGGTGGTGATGGTGGTGGTGGTGATGGTGGTGGTGATGGTGGTGATGGTGGTGATGGTGATGGTGGTGGTGATGGTGGTGGTGATGGTGATGGTAGTGATGGTGATGGTGGTGGTGATGGTGGTGATGGTGGTGATGGTGATGGTGGTGATGGTGGTGATGGTGGTGGTGGTGATGGTGGTGGTGATGGTGGTGGTGATGGTGGTGATGGTGGTGATGGTGATGGTGTGATGGTGGTGGTGATGGTGGTGGTGATGGTGGTGGTGATGGTGGTGATGGTGGTGGTGATGGTGGTGGTGATGTGATGGTGGTGATGGTGATGGTGGTGGTGATGGTGGTGGTGATGGTGATGGTAGTGATGGTGATGGTGGTGGTGATGGTGGTGATGGTGGTGATGGTGGTGATGGTGATGGTGGTGATGGTGGTGATGGTGGTGATGGTGGTGATGGTGGTGGTGATGGTGATGGTGGTGGTGATGGTGGTGGTGATGGTGGTGGTGATGGTGATGGTGGTGATGGTGGTGGTGGTGATGGTGGTGATGGTGGTGATGGTGATGGTGGTGATGGTGGTGATGGTGGTGATGGTGGTGGTGATGGTGATGGTGGTGGTGATGGTGGTGATGGTAGTGATGGTGGTGATGGTGGTGGTGGTGATGGTGTTGATGGTGGTGGTGATGGTGGTGGTGATGGTGGTGATGGTGGTGATGGTGGTGGTGATGGTGGTGGTGATGGTGGTGATGGTGGTGATGGTGATGGTGGTGATGGTGGTGGTGATGGTGGATGGTGGTGATGGTGGTGGTGATGGTGGTGATGTGGTGGTGATGGTGGTGATGGTGGTGATGGTGTGGTGGTGATGGTGATGGTGGTGATGGTGGTGATGGTGGTGGTGATGGTGGTGGTGATGGTGGTGATGGCTACCTGCACACGACATAGAAGCCATCACTGCAGCTTCTCATGGTCCACTCTCTTCTTGGCACCTCTACTGCTCCTCCAAAGAGAGAGCGAGCGAGAGAGCGAGCGAGAGAGCGAAGCGAGAGAGCGAGCGAGAGAGGCGAGGCGAGAGAGCCGAGCGCGAGAGCGAGCGAGAAGAGCGAGCGAGAGTAGCGAGCGAGTAGAGCGGTGGGGAAGAGAGCGAAGCGAGAGAGCTGAGCGAGAGAGCGAGCGAGAGAGCGAGAGAGCGAGCGAGAGAGCGAGAGAGCGAGCGAGAGAGCGAGCGAGAGAGCGAGCGAGCGAGAGAGCGAGCGAGAGGGTGAGAGAGAGGCGAGCGAGAGAGCGAGCAGGATGAAGGCGAGCGAGAGAGCGCGCGGAGAGAGCGAGCGAGAGAGGCAGGCGAGAGAGTGAGCGAGAGGGTGAAGAGAGAGAGTGAGCGAGAGAGCTGAGCGAGAGAGCGAGCGAGAGAGTGAGCGAGAGGTGAGAAGAGACGTGAGCGAAAGAGCGAGCGAGAGAGCGAGCGAGAGAGTTAGCGAGAGGGTAGAGAGAGAGTGAGCGAGAGAGCGAGAGAATGAGCGAGAGAGCGAGCGAGAGAGTGAGCGAGAGAATGAGCGAGAGAGCGAGCGAGAGAGCGAGCGAGAGAAGAGCGAGAGAGCGAGCGAGAGGCGAGCGAGAGAATGACGAGAGAGCGAGCGAGAGAAGAGCGAGAGAGCGAGCGAGAGAACGAGCGAGATAGCGAGCGAGAGAGCGAGCGAGAGAGAGAGAATGAGCGAGAGAGTGAGCGAGAGAGCGAGCGAGAGAGCGAGCGAAGATGTAGCGAGAGAATGAGCGAGAGAGCGAGCGAGAGAGCGAGCGAGAGTGAGCGAGAGACGAGAGAGAATGAGCGAGAGAGCGAGAGAGAATGAGCGAGAGAGCGAGAGAGCGAGCGAGAGAGCGAGAGAGCGAGAGAGCGATAGAGTGAGAGAGCAGAGAGCGAGAGAGAGAGCGAGAGAGCGAGCGAGAGAGCGAGCGAGAGAGCGAGCGAGAGAGCGAGCGAGAGAGCGAGCGAGAGAGCGAGCGAGAGAGCGAGCGAGAGAGCGAGCGAGAGAGCGAGCGAGAGAGCGAGCGAGAGGAGCGAGCGAGAGAGCGAGCGAGAGAGCGAGCGAGAGAGCGAGCGAGAGAGCGAGCGAGAGAGCGAGCGAGAGAGCGAGCGAGAGAGCGAGCGAGAGAGCGAGCGAGAGAGCGAGAGAGCGAGCGAGAGAGCGAGAGAGCGAGCGAGAGAGCGAGCGAGAGAGCGAGCGAGAGAGCGAGCGAGAGGGCGAGCGAGAGAGCGAGAGAGCGAGCGAGAGAGCGAGCGAGAGAGCGAGCGAGAGAGCGAGCGAGAGAGCGAGCGAGAGAGCGAGCGAGAGGGTGAGAGAGAGAGCGAGCGAGAGAGCGAGCGAGAGAGCGAGCGAGAGAGCGAGAGAGCGAGCGAGAGAGCGAGCGAGCGAGAGAGCGAGCGAGAGAGTGAGCGAGAGGGTGAGAGAGAGAGTGAGCGAGAGAGCGAGCGAGAGAGCGAGCGAGAGAGTGAGCGAGAGGGTGAGAGAGAGAGTGAGCGAGAGAGCGAGA